CCCTCAGTCTGTGATCCTCCCTTAATGTCAGAGACCAAGTTTCACACCCATGATGAAGAATAATAATAATTATAATAATAATAATAATAATAATAATAATAATAATAATAATAATGTTATATTTTGTGTTATAACGCCGAGCTGTAGAGTGAATGTTAACTGATGTTTCTGAAGAACATTTCGCCTTAGTCTTCAGCCACAACTAAGCCTAATAATTATTATTTATGGTTTATGTCACATGTAAACTTATTCAGTATTTAAATATTACGTCGTATGAATGACGACAGGACAGGCTTTCAGCAAGAAAAAGACAAATAAAAGAGAATTTTTAGACACATAGACATCTTCCATTCAATATTTAAATCAGTGAAATTACACGTTAAGAAATGTAGAAATGAAACAAAGTTTAATTATTCTATTAATAGATGAGCACCAGCATTAAACAAGCATGAATACCAAAGAGGTAGGTGAAATTGCAAAATAATGAATTCCTGCTTGGAGCTGTACTCGAAGCTACAGTATATCTTCTGCTTGTTTCTGCCTCTGGAATTAATTCTGATTTGTGTTACTTGTTTTTTCCTTGTTTTCTGAGGCACACTTCACGACTATGTGGTAGTGCTTACACACAGTTTACGCAAACTAAGATTCGTCATATTGAAAAAATATTCTTAATGACTCCGTTTTGAGAGTCTAGGTATCATATCCAGGTGGATACGTGTTGCTCCAGTCTATGGACTTGCCCTCTCACGGCTGCTAGTTGCCTTTATTTTAACTTGCAATAAATGTTCTATTTCAGTCCAGGACGAGAATTCCAACTTCATTTGTAAATGTACATTCACATATACAAGTAAAAATTAGTTTGGAGACTTTCAGTAAAACCCGAGTGTCTGCAGTGGTCTCGAATAGGGTACTGTAGGCATGAAGCACAGTGTTTGTAATCAAGCTTTTATTCGGAGAGCCATTGCAGACACGCTATCTTCTCTGCTTAATTATGGTTCATAGATTTAGCGCTTATCACCGTTCCCTTATCTGACTGTACATGAGCAACGTTACGATTAACCGTACCCGAAACGCCGGGACAGTAACTGCTTTGGATTTCGTTAAGTGCAAATGAGCACTCCTAACTGTGCCACGCGCAGAGATATTATTTATGTATGATTTATTTATATAATATTTGCAGTATGCAGATTGTTGGCATATCCTGCAGATATATATATATTTAACATACAGGCATTTTCATAAAATGGAAATTGTGTCAAAGTAACCGAAATGTTTATAAATCACTTGGTTTTTTGCATTAATTTCTTATTATTTTGACAAAATTCGTGTGACATACGTTCAGTTGGTGGATGACGGTTAAATGATTCTTCGGATGTTTAGAGACGCTCTATCAGCTACTTAGTGTATGCAGCACTGCATGGGTGTATGGAAGGTGAGCGGCAAAGGGTGGGCTTCAAGGCGCTATTGAGGCAGTTGTTTGCTGGTATTTACGGAACCAACAGACAACCTCAATCAGGGCGCCAGGTATTTGGACCGGGATTCAAACCTCATACATCCTGAATACGAAGCAGGTGAGGTAAGTAAAGGTATCCCTGTAACAGGCCGTGAAGGCCCATAGGCTTGTGAGATGTTGAGGTTCCCAAATTTTCTCTAGACAATCGGCTCACAGACGGCGGTGATGTTGGCAGTCTTACACGCCAGCCGCTCTTTACTCCTAGGACGATTCCTGGTACGCACTTCCGTTAGAAGTTGAGTCGACCCCAGGGCCATAGTACGCCTGGAAGGATTAGGTCAACTGAAAAACCCAATGACCTCATCGGGAATTGAAACCGCGACGTTCCGGCTTGTAGCATAGTGCCTCAACCCACTACGCTATCGTGTTTATTATTATTATTATTATTATTATC